TCTACTACCTCAGTCTTCTCAAATAGTCCCTCAGTAGTGCTGCAGTGCGGTTCGGTCTCTGGGGTCTCCTTCACTCTCTTGAGGAGGTCGCTATAGATAGGGTCATGCGCATACGCCTATCTAACTTTCTCTTGCAGGTCTTTCCCTATATCCAGATAATGCACTATAGCTCCAAAGTAGTCTGCTCTCCTACTTAGAGCGTCCGCAACTACATTGTACTTGCCTTTGACCGGTTTGAGCTCAAAGTCAAATTGGTCTATCTCAGTTTCCCACCTAGTCAACTTAGGTGTCATTTTGACCTGGGTCTTCAACCATCTCAGCGTTTCGTGGTCTGAGTATACTTTGAAGTGCCTCCCAAGCAGGTAATGCTTCCAGTGCTCTAAGGCTTGCCTGAGAGCGTAGAGTTCTCTCTCGTACGTCGAGGTGGCAACCTTCTCTTAGGGCATCCTCGCTGACATGAACTCTACGGGGCTGTAGCCATTGTCGTCGTCTTGCTGTAACACGGCGCCTATACCATACTGACTCGTGTCCGTGGTGACGACAAATGGCAAGGACGGATCTGCCACTTTGAGGACAGGGTACTCTATTAGCACGCGCTTTAACTTCTTAAGTGCAGACGTACAGTCTTTGTCCCATCGCCAGATTGCCTCTTTCTTAAGCAACCTGCGCAAGGGAGCGGCGATAGTAGAGAAGTTCCTCACGAACTTTCTATAGTAATTAGCTAGGCCTAAGAACGACCGCAACTCAGTCAACGTGCGGGGCGTCGACCAGTCTCTAATTGCCGCTATCTTGCTGTCCTCTGGCTTAATGCCATCTCCGTCCAACACGTGGCCCAAGTATAAAACTTGTGTCTTGGCCCAGTCGCACTTCTTCGCATTGATCTTGAAGTTAGCTTCTCTGAGCTTCTCCAAGACCTGCCTCAAATGACCCTGATGTTCATGGAGGGTCCTACTGAAAACTAAGATATCGTCTAGGTAAACTACGACGAACCTATCTAACCAAGGTCTGATCAGATCATTCATACAATGCTGAAATGTAGTTGGCGCGTTGGTTAGTCCAAAGGGCATCACTATGAACTCATAATGCCCATATCTAGTTCGGAACGCAGTCTTGTACTGGTCATAAGGGTGAACCTCTATCTGATGATAACCGGACTTCAAATCTATCTTTGAGAAATACTTGCAACCCTGCACCTGATCTAAGAAATTGTCTATCCTGGGCAGTGGTTCAGCATTCTTGACTGTGATAGCATTTAGACCCCTGTAGTGTATACACATACGCAACTCGCCGTCCTTCTTGGGGACAAACAGAACAGGTGCTCCAAAAGGAGATGAATTGGGTTTGATCCAACCTTTCTCAAGGAGCTCGTCCAACTGCTTACGTAGCTCCTCTAACTCTCTAGGGGACATTCTGTAGATTGCTCCCTTAGGAGTTCTACCGCCCAACTCTATTTCTATTATGTGCTGAATCGGTCGCGGCACTACTCCTGTCGGCGACTCGGTCAAATCTTTGAACTCCTCCAGCAGCTTGGCAATGGTTGGATCCATGGAACTATCTCCTTCTTTGGGCTCAGTGACAGGTCTAACATGTACTACAAAGACCTGATCCTCTAACTGCTCTTTCTTTACTAATTGCGCGAACGCGGGAGCACTGAGACAGCAATGTGCCAAGGTGTTGTCTACACCTGACATATGAAACAGGCGGGCAGTTTTAACCTCGCCGGACGGACACTCATGCTCTCTTAAGTGGAGTGTGGCCCCTGCTGCCTCTCCCCAATCCATTCCTAACACTATATCAAAAGGAAGGTCATCCTGCACGAGGAGAGTCAGGGAATGGAGAACTTTTTCCACCTTCCCATCTTTCTCTAGGCGAAAATATGCCTGGACTCCCTCTACGTAGTCCTCAACGCACATCGTGCGGTTGTCTGCGCGGACACTAACTATGGGGTCTTCCAATTTCTTGACTTTTAACCCTAGCCTCAGCTTCTTCAGCGCCTTACGGCTAATATAACTGCGGGTGGCCCCTGAGTCTATAAGGACCCCTACTCTACTTATGAAAACTTGTATATCAACTAAGATTAGTTGTCCCTTACTCTCCTTCTTCATTTTGGCCCAGGCTGGCATCCTCTCCTTCAACTTTTTTGCCACGCCTGTGAGGGAAGTGCCTAGAGAGACGCTAACACAAGCAGTCTCTGGACAACTAGCTAGGCACGGGCCTGCAACCTCTGCCATAGGCTCATGTGGTGTTCCCCACATGGCCTAGAAGTAAGGGCAGTTGCGACCCCCACTGGCGGCTGCCTTTTGACTGCCGAGCAGCCCATCGGGCCTGTCTATACTTAGGACAAAATTGGATTACATGGGCCGGGTCACCACAAAACACGCACTGACCCAAGTCCATGCGTTCTTGCCATACGCGCTGGTCCCAGCCCAAATCTTCCCAGGGCCTGCCCTGCGGCAAGCCTAGGTGCCATCCTCCTTGAGGTGGCCTTCCACCTCGTCGCTGCGGGGACCGACAAGAACCCTGACAATTTGGCGGGGGACCTTGACCCCTACCTCCCACTTGGCAGTTCCCTTGTCCGCCAACCCCCTGTGCGCCCGGTCCTCGGCCTCCCGCGGCTTGGCCCCTTTGGCCCTGGCCTCTTCCTCTACCTTGCGGCCTCCCTCCAGCCGCGACAGCAGCATAGGACCTCCCCTGCCCCACGCTACTGTTCTCATCCTTGAGGCCCCACTCGATCTGACTATATGGGACCTCGTGTGTACCACCTTTCTCTAAAGTAAGGATCATATGATTCTTGGCCCTGACTTGGCCAGAGATGGTACGGCCTTTCCACTTCTTCCCCTTATCCAAGTCCTTGTGCCAGAAAGTGGACACTGGCATGGACTTTGACTCGAACAGGACCACCTCTCTACTTAGCACATCATACGTGATGTCGGCCTGTTGAGACTTGTCAAAGAAATGCCCACGCAGGGGCTCTGGCATGGCACGATAAAACAATTGGACCAGTTGGGTATTAGTGACCCCATGGTCTGGGACGGCTACCAAGTCGTCCATGACGCCCTTGAGCGCTCTTGCACTTCTCCACTGTCGCGAGTGGATGGTCTGTAACTTATCAGAGGCTCTAACGCCTCTCGTTGGGTCAGCAAATCTCTCTTGTAGGAGTTTAAAGAATTGAGGAAGAGGGGTAATCTTAGAGTATGCAACCAGGTTGTTTTCACAACCGGCTGCACGTGCAAGGGATCTGGCAAAACTGGCCGCTTCATCTTTGAGGGCCTGGAAGGCGACGAGGACTTGTTCCTCAGTCAAGATGTGTTGTAAGTATACGTAACTATTGACGCTCGCCTCCCAGTTATCAAAATTCTCTTACTTCTTCCCGCCGTATGCATCTGGGAATTTAAGCCGCCAGTCTGAAGACTCTGACGTGCTGTAAGTATACGTAACTTCTTCCCGCCGCCAGTCTGAAGACTCTGACGTTCTGAATTGAACTGCAAAGTTTGAACTTTTAAGTTATATATGAAGTTGTGAACTTAAATTACTTAATCCAAAGTTCAAACTTCAAACTTTAAAGTTAATCATACTTTTTTCAAAAAATGTTCTCTGTTTCTTTAGTCTTCTGTCTGCTTTGCACTGTTTGCAACTCTGCATGTCTGCTTGTTAAATGTGCTGGTTGATTTGCTGCAAGACATGTGCTCTGCTGTCTGAACTACAGAGTGCAAAGCAGGTAAGTGCCTGCCAACACTCCCACCCAACCCCCC